GCTTTTTTGAAAAAACCTTCCCGACATTCCCTGTTGTAATTACAAGGAAGAGCCGTATGTTTGGCAAAAAAAAAAAAAAAATTGTGACATTTCCTGTTTGACTAGAAAACGGAAAGTTGTTTTTGAGTTTGCTGTTTGATGATATTCGCTTTCAAAGAAGTCTTTCTACGATCCTTATCAACCACTCATTCTAACATCGCTCCTGTCATTTCCCTTTTTCTAATGTAGAACTTAAATATTCGTAAATTTTACGCCGTCTTAAGGCTAATAACAGTCTTGTTTACTCGCTTAGATTACAGTGAACTGCATCCTACACAATCTGATTAAAATGAACAACTATTATAGAGATCTTTTTTTTTTTTTTCATTTCTAGCTAGAGCACCGATATGTCGATCACATCTCGATTTGTTCGAAAAAAAAAAAACAGAATTTATCCGACTTTTCATATGTAAAATAAAAGTTTGTTATAAAATCGCATTTGCGGTATTGCTGCATCACGTTCCATCAATATACAAAAAAATAAAGTTTTTAATTTAAATGTCCAATTTTAGTATGTTCTAGACATCTGCTATTCTTAGAGCTGAATTTACGTCTAAAGTTCTAAGAAGGTCACCGGTCCAATAGAAACAAGAAAATTGAACATCGCTTGCTCAGACCTCACTGTGTTGGCTTCGTTGGAGATCAGCTAATCATGCAAAGCGGATTTCAGCTAAGGTCTACGAAGGTGATAAGGGGAGGAAAAAGAGGGAGGTGGAAGTGAGGCGGGGAGGGAGTTTCTCTGAAAGTAAAATGGCGATTTCACATCTCAAAAATTATAAAAGGGGCATCTACAACAGCCAATTACGTAGTCAGGCTCTTGGCATTTAACGTTCAGGAAATTTAAAATAAAAAAAAAAAAACACATTATCATCGATATCCACAACAAAAACAAAGGAAAAACAACGAGGCAAAACAACAATAAGACAGCAAATCAAAAACAGTAATAAAAAAAAAAAACATTTTCTCCAATCTTGGTTAACAATAACGCAAGAAAAGCCTACAAAGTTTGCCTACTAACTTAATATCGCTTGTTTCTTGTTCAAGCCACTGTGAAAAGGAAATAATTAGAATGCAACAGACCTATGTAAAGTTTGTTTGTTTGCGTTACGACCCTGGCGTTAGAGACGTCACGCTGGCAGGCTGTCAAGGTAGATAAACTCTTCTCGTTAATTAATCTACTTTGATAAACATACCTCGCAGAATACCTTCCATTTACCGTAAAAGGGTCGTTTAACCTTCCCGCTTTTGCTTTGCTTTTTAAGAAATCCTTTCCACAGTTTCAAGACTTCCTTCAGTATGCCGACTGATCGTCCACGTGGAATCTTCATCGACGTTCATAATTCTAAAGAAATCAAACACAGCTTGACGGAAACCTCCCGAATCGTTGTGTCTATAGACTTTGAAATACAGGACTTCGCCTTATGGTTTAGAAGTGTCATGTATCTGGAGGATAAAAAGTTATATCTGGCACTCGAGACCTCCCGAGCTCCCGGCCCACCGAGTTGTGCCAGTCATGTTTGTTCCCAAGGCTATCCCGGCGAAGTGTCAAGCGCTCCGCGTCGAGTATGACGTACGTATCTGTAACGCAATGTCGTTTGCATCAAATTCTTACAAAATAATAACAGGGGCGTGCGTGAGATTTTGAAGGTGTACGCTCAGCGCGGAAATTGGGAGCGCCGAAGGCAACCCGAACTTGGTGGTCTGGAGGCACGCTTCCCCAGAAAATTTTGAAATTTAGGGTCTCGGAAATGCCATTTTCAACTGTTTGCGGGGAACTTTTTTTTATAAATAAATGCGACGGAAAATGTAGTAGTTAGTTGTTTATTTTACCCATCTCTAGAGTTTTAAAGCTAAAAGGGTGTTCGCTTTCTAAAATAACTTAAGAGTTAACAAGTCTAGGAAGCCAAATAACGTTTCTTGTCGTTTATGGATTAATGAAAAGGTACTGGAAAAACAAACACACACGCCAGTATAATTTGAAATTTAAAAATCGGTCCTATTTTATATTTTATGGTAACTGTGACAAATGCTATAAGCGAATAAAAATTTTTTTTTTCTAGATTTCAGCCGCACGCAGTCTCCTTCGCAGCAGTTGTTTGGGCTCGTCACGCAACGCTCCCCGAGCCCAAACAACGGCTGCGAAGGAGACTACCGTACGCATGGGCGTACGTGCGTATATGGACGCCACGCCCCTGAATAATAATAAACAACGAAAAAAAAATAGTAAAATCAAACAACAGCAGTATTTACATGTGAGGTAATTGCAGTTGAATTAAAGCACCTCCAACTTGTCTTGTTCTGGGGTTTATACATTCATGACGAAATATGGGGGGAAATTTTACCATATTATTACATTGCAATGAACGTGTCAAAGTTGACAGGTATAATGGCTAAGGCAAGAGACCACGTATCCCTTCCAACACTGAAAATACCTTATAATACTGAGATATATCCATGGCTAACATATAGTGACGTCGTTTGAACGAGTTCGCATTCAACGAGACTTCTGTCCATATTCGAGATTCAAAAGAAAACCACGAGAATACGACCTTCTCAAATCGCTGATAAGAATCGAGACCATTGCCTTTTGAGTCTTTAAAAATACTAAACGTATATCAGCGCAATACATTTCTGATAGCAATTTTAATGTATTCAAATCACCACAACAATCTGCCAAGTTATTTTACTGAATTACTTCTTGACTGGCAAATGACAAAATGCATACTTATGATACACTCCGATCAACACAAAAAATACATATTGTATATACTGTAAGGAATTATGGAAATAAGTACATGGAACAATATGCCAAGAGAGTTAAAGGCATAAATTCATTTTACTATATAATTGACACTAGGATGTTAATGATAGGGGCGTTAACCAGTCAGGACGACAACGGCGAAGAAAATGTCGATTAAAAATGAATTTAAATTGATAGAAAGAATTTTGCGAATAGCTGGATGCATTTGCTGTATCTTATGCCCCACCTCAGTGTCACGTATGTGAGCAACGTTGAGTTCCAAATATTTGGAACTCAACGGTGCTCACATACGTGAATTAATTTAAAACTTAATTCAATATTTAGCCGTCGGCGTTTTAGTTCTCGGACAACGTAAATTTTGGTGATTTCACGTAGCTCAGTTTGGCAGAGGACGGCTTTGAAATGTACAAATTTTTAAAATGCACGTGCTGAGCTATTACTCTGCCAATTAGATTTCTTGTTTTGCCACGTCCTGATTGCCGTTGCGTCGTGTTTTGCGTAAGGTCCCTATTATTATAGATAAGACTTCGAACGTGACCGCGTTTAGCTTACCAGTCCTTGTTTCTATTGACGTAGAACTAAGTAGGGCTCCTATGTAGGGGATCTTTTATCTAGTACTTTCTAGCCGCTTTTGTCAATAACTTTTTACAAAAGGCGAAAATATGATTAGAAAATTACAAAGTTACTGAACAAAAATCTGAACCCACGGAGCCGGTGACTTCAAACATCCTGTTCAACGAATTAAAAAAATTTCATTTAACAGTGCAATATGTTTTTTCAGAGGAATTTCAGCCTAAGATTTGGATGAGTGGTTAGCTAATTCATTACGGGGCTTTTCCGTAGTTCACGACGATGCCTTTTGACGCCAAGTACCACTGAATGCTTCTGTTTTTGTTACTTTGTGTAAATACAGTCTTTCTGTTATTTACGCCTCACCAAGATCGAAATGAATTCTGGTGAATGTACTTAAATAGTTCCATTGAGAATATGGCCACAATCAAGTTTAGTAGAGTTACGAAATAAAGGTAAACTTGTCACCTGCGGGGGCGTTGTTAACTCAATCAGGCATCATCTTTCATTTGTGCACGTGTGATATTTTGAGCAAGCTAGATTTGTTATCTATCGAGGGACGCACCCGCTTTTACCCGTCTTGAATTACCCTGGTCTTTTACAACACCCCGTCACCCAATCGAGCACAGAGACCCCTAAATTCTGAAAGTCTTTTGTTAAGGGGGCGACCATTGATCACTGCACACGACTTGAGCATCATCGTCCTGTCACTTCCTTATCCATTTCTTACTTACTGTCGTCTCATGTTTTCTATCTTCTCGTGTTTTTCGCCATGTTTTTAGTTGAATCCAATTTAACGATATTTCTATAGTACATATTACGAATTAAAATTTCGTGGTATGGTTCCCCTAAGGAATTCTGAAAGATTTTCATATGAGACATCTTTAACAGGTAAAGGAGCAATTCTAAAAAAAGGTAAAAGAGTAGGAGGAAAAACTAAGGTACGCCTTTTATCTAAGCATCAAAAGCCCACAATTTGAGACATTTTTTTCGAACCTACGTCAGACCGCCTCTGGATTCAAGACCAAAAGAAACTCCTGTAAAGGAGCGATAAGTTATTGCTATTTTCAGTCCGCTAGAGGGCCTCCTAATTCCTTGGCCAGAAAAGGGCAGGGATTTGTTTTCCTGAAATTAGAAACATCTGAACTACGCCTCAATTGAATTATGATCACGCCAAACCTAATTATGGCCTACGCTTTCAAACACTTTTAGAATCTCGGTCGGACAACGCCAGCTAGAATTTATAACCAACGAAATATCCATCAAGATTCAAGAAAGCGATGAACTATCACTACTTCCATTCCATAGAGGATTCTCTGCCCCGAAATGTGCAGGATTGTTTTTCAATTTTTTATATTTATTTATATATCTTTTTATTACAAACAACTGAACTACGCCCTAAGTAAATCCTGGTCAGGATAGGACGTTTTACGTGCATGCAATTCTACACGGGGCTAAAATTGTAACCGGTTCCACCAAGAGTTCTAATCTTTGGTCAGTGAACGTTTATCTGTCAGTATCAACTAGCGTACTTGCACCCACGTCAGCTGCTAACCAATCAATAACTCGGAGAAAACAATACGCGAATATTCTGACGTGTTGTCTGCAAATACGATCAGTTATCGCCATGTGCCAGTAGTTGACCTCAAAGTGTATAAATTGGGAAGTGGCGTGACTACGGTGGCTTTTCACTTCGCACTGTTCACCAGTGTTTCCAAGTCTTTACACAGGGAAGAGAGATCGCAGCCGAATAGCAATCTAACCAAATTAACGTGGAAATGAATTCTTGGTGGATTTTAATCATTTCCCTAGGAATGCTTGCTGTTCAAAATCTCTTAGTGGACGCTGGCCCAGTGGACATGAGAATGTTTCCTAGAGAACAAGAAGAATACGAAAGAAGCTGGCTAGAAGAAAAGAGAGGTAATAGTCAATCTGATTTTCCCAGCTCGGTGATTGTTTAATTTGAAAATTGTTTCTAGTAAGGAGGTTTGACATGATTAATGAATAAGTCTTTATCTCAGCTGCAACTAAACCCTGCTGCGTTCTGAACGACATCAGACACTTGTCGCTCGAGCCAAAGGGAATGTAGTATCAGTCCATCTTCTCTCTAGTAAAACCGATGAAAGAGAAGTGCTCGACTCGTTCATTTTAAATCTTGACTTACATGACTAGGCGATCAAAATATTCTAAGCTGCTGTTTTGGGTATGCACTGAAATTGAGACGACAAACATTTCCGGTGTTTGAAGCGCAAGGCACAAAATTCTCTGATAGAGAACATGACACTCATTAATTTGAGGAGAACTTCGTTTGGGGTTTTAGTTAACAAGTAACACTGAACGTCATGAAATCTTTCTGGAAAGCCATAGATTTAAATCTAAAATTTCCCCACGGCCCAAGCTTTGTTCCATTATTGGGCCAAGTTAGAACAGACAAATCTTGGCTGACAGACGTTAAAGTTGGCTGACACTGGCATGATTTAGGAAGCCCACAATTTCAATAATAGTGCCGTCATATCTTATTAACTATCCCTTGATTTAACCCGGTGAAATAAAACTTCAGGAAAATAAAGAGACTTCGTTATCTTCTCACAGGCCTCTGCCATGATATGAAACCAATCAAATGCATTTGGGAGCAAAATCTGTGCAATCACCTAAACCATGCAAACTATCAGGACTTCCTCGCCTTCGCTTACGTGGAGTGTCCCCAGACGTGCAGGATGTGTTGAGAGGTAAAATAAAGCCAAAGTCGCGATCCTGTAATAATTGGTAGTAGCAATCCCATGTTAATGTCATCATAATCGATACCAGGTTATGCTTCCTTTTCCCTCCTCCCCAGCCCCCTCCTAGCATGGTGTCAGTCTATTCCACTGCCCCTTTTAATGTTTTTGGGGAGAGGTCTTGCGTGAAACGCAATTTTTTTTTTTTTGTACCCCGCTTGTGCGCATGACAATGGGGCTTTCTATCAAGAAAGCTCATTTCGTTCCAGGGCGGGCAAAGTTAAGAAAATTCCGCAGGCGAAACGTCGCGATACACATCAAAAGTAGTCACATCTTGAAACAACAAAAGATATTCAAGGTGTAAACATGACCCTCCTTTTGCAACGTGATAGCTATCTGACACATCCCATGGCGTTGTAATGCAATGGTAGTACGTAAAGCTTGCTGGTCTTAGAGAAACTTGATGTCTTAATTGGACTTTTTGAACACAAATAGCAGTTTGTTGCACTGTTTGAAATATTCAAAGTACCAGGAAAAATGCTCTCTCTCGGTATTTTTTTTTTTGTTTTTTTTGTTTTTTCTTTAGTTATTGCCTTTGAATAGTTTAAAGGCGAGTGTGTAGACGCTCTTTCCCTCATTCCTTGCAGTTGTGTCGGTATGCGCCCTCGTTTCAGATATTTTTTAAACAGCAACTATTTTGGCCAGAATTCTTTTAAATAAGGGAAGCTTAATGCTCAAAAGGAGAAGAGGGTGGGCAAAACTTTGAGATGTATTTTACTTTGAGGCCTCCAGATCAATTGAGCGTGTTCATGGATAGCTGGAGGCGATGGAATGGATGCTAATTCGTATACTTATCTGTTTATTTATCTCTTTGCATTTATTTTTACAGACAATTTACTAGGAAACGGCAAGAATTCATGTTTACAAGAAAAGTTAGATGTTCCTCTAAAAACCTCTGACCAGCTATCGAGATATGTATTCATATTGCAAAGAAGTTCTTCTGTTTATGAAGCATTACCCTCCAGATTCAGCTATTTTTTTATTTTGGTCAATGTTATTCGTATAGTTATACTACCCTTATCAATAAAAATTCTCTTAGCCTACAATTGTTGTACTGACTAGTTCAGAGCTGATCTACGAAAATTAGTGGATAATTAGTTTTCCTTAGAATATTTTAGCATTTTAAGGCTGGGTAGTTTTTTTTGTGTGATTAAATTCCTTGTAACATTTCCAAGTTAAAATATCAAAATGTGTGCGTAATACTTTGACACTTAAAATGTCCCGTAATACTTGAAAATTTGCCTCGGCAAGATTTTCCAATAGCTGGTATGTGTCAAGACGGATGACCATGGCATCCTGTTGAATCAGTCATGTTGTTGAGTCGGTGCCTTGCAGATTATCCTTGTCTCTAGTCTTGTGAGCAAAACCACGTTCTAATTTTGTCCTTTACTGCTTGTCTTACTTCGCTGATCTTCCAGCAGTAAAGAAACGGGTTTAGTGTTGAGTTTAAGAACACGATAGTGCCTGTAAGATCCCGAGCTAAGTCAATAGATGGCGTGCGTAAAGCAGTGACAGAAATTAGCACTTGGACAATTCCAAAAGGTAGATAACAGGCCAGAAATGTCATTTGCACCCAGATTGCAGTGGACAATGTTTTTCTGTATCGCACAATGTTTATGGGAGGTAGTCCTCCCGTGGCTCCTTGTTGAACATTTACTTGTCTACCATGATTGCGAAGCGTACGATAAACTTTCGAGTAACAGAAGGTTGACGTTGTTACGCATGACAGCAGTAGTATGCTACCGCTGACTGCAGCAAATAAGAGCCTGAAAATAAACATTCCAGCAATTGCTGCACTAATGAGCCAAAATATCAAAATGGTGACTTTTATTCGTCTTAAAGAGAGAAATTGTCTATACCGAAACCCCAGTAACAAAGCGCACAGCCTTTCCACGCTTATGGCAGTCAGTGTCAACAATGATACTCCGCCAAACAGCACACTGGTTGCCTTACCTAAGATAGTAACATAAAGACAGCTGGTAGAATCCTCCGGCGACAGCAAAAAGACGGCTATTAGAGGTTGTGTAACGAGTCCTATTGCCAGATCTGTGCTTGCGAGGCATCGAAGGAGAAGTTTAGATGGTGGACGGAGAGACGTGGACACATTTTGAAGGGCAACAATAATTAGAACGTTACCCAGAAATGCCGTTACCGATAAAGGAATATTCAATGAGGCAATAAATATTTTAAGATGAAATGCATATAGACGCTTGACACATAACGGTTCGTAGCTTGTCGCGTTACTTCCAACCATCGCTGAACCCGTCATTTTTGACAGCTGGACTAAACAAAGATTTTGTCACACATCAATTTGTGATCGACCTTTTATCTAGCCTTATCACCTTTGCCATTTTTTTTTCCCTCCAAGATTCTGAATCTTGCAGCAGTTCCAGGTTAGCCCAATTCCCTGAAGGAAAAACATAATTAGTTAAAGTGGTTCAGTGGCCAACTCCGCTTTCAAAGTCAACGCTGCTGTAAGTTCAAAGAACGATGTTCGTTGGAATGTAGCTGGGGCCAAAATAAAAGTAACCTTAACAGCCAATCAGAGCAAAGGAAAATATCACAAGGAGCCAATAAGTACTCAGACTGAGTAAATACGAGTAAACCGCTGTCAGTGGGAACACTGGAACGAAAAGAGGAACGCGGTGAATATGACATGACAAACCAAATCTCTCTCCTTGTTGTTGTTGTTGTTGTTATTGTTGTTTTTTAATTTTTTATTTTTTCACGATGTATTTTAACATCCAGGTCTAATGATACTCCAGAAGCAAAAAATAAAAAAAAAATCCCCGCGGTCTTGATTTCCTTTTTTTCTCTTTTCTTTCTTTCTTTTTTTCTTTTTTTCTTATTTTCTTTACGCTCTGGGAGACACAGAGAGAGGCTATGAAGATTCACTATTGTTAAGTCATTATCGTTTAGTCGAGTTTCTACAGAATTCGGATTATTATTTGCCCTACACACAAGATATTTATGGCGGCGACTGCACTTTATGGATGCTAGTATCATAACTTTAAGACACCTTTGTAAAATATCCCCTGCCATCAATATACCAAGATCTTCCTAACGGAAATATCTTTTAAATGCCATTAACTCTGAACACTCATTCATCGGAATGATTCGTATTGTATTTATGGCTATTGATCTTCGTGACATTTTCTCATATTTTTCTTGTTTTTTAATTTCTGATTTCCTTTTTGCCTTTCTTTTTCTCTCTTATTGTCTTATTTTCTTTATGCTAAAGGAGACACTGAGATACAATAAAGATTTATTATTGTTCAATCGATGTCAAGGGAATTCCCTTTGTTAGTCAAATTTCGACAGAATTCGGATTTTTATTTGCCTTGCAAACAAGAAATTAATACATTCCATAAATTAAAGCACTTTTGTTTGTGCGTTTCTTTGTGTAAAATATGAATAACTAATTTTTATGGAACAATTTTCCTGCTGATCACTTTTTTTCACTTGGAAATGAAAGTAAAATACTTTACATTTATCATGAGAACGAGTCGCGTTTCAATCATTCAAACATTTACCTTAGGGATAGACTAGCACGAAAGCGGAGGCCCACATCCTTCGCACATGTACGTGATCAATAAAGTTATACTTTGTTAGACAGGGGACCGTAGAAACTCTCTTCATAAATTTCTTTAACCCCCATTACTGAAGTCTATCAAGTGAAATTACATTTTACGGTCTAGTTTGGGATATCTCCCAAACTAGAAGGTTCTTTGACACGTTAATAAAGTTTCTATCTATCTCTACTAGGAGGGGCATAACATTAGTTTCAAAGTGACCAGGCTTTTGAAGTTAACCTGGATTCTACGTTAGATCTCACTTGTCTTTTTAGTAAGGATAAATTTGAGTGATTAAAAAAGATCTTTCAGTTCCACAGAGGATAAATTTCCAACAAATCTCGAAAACAAGGAGAAACTGAAATGACCAACTGACTTTCAACCGTCGATTGGAGTTTCGGAATCATAATAAAAGCCTTACCTTGCACATCTACTCGCGGCCAGTAGTCTTGATTGATCCTGAATTGAGTCAGAATGTACAGCTACTCAAATAGAAAGTCCTGCAGAGTATGAACAGAACTCTCTGTTTACACTCAGCTTGCTGACCTACTTATTACGGAAACCTGATTGACATCTTTTTCAAGTACTCCCTGCCCACCAACATACAAAGATCTTCCTAACGGAATCATTCTTTATCTTTTGAACTTCCATTAATTACAAAATACAGACTTTCGTAACTTATATTGTATTTATATAATTATGGATACTGATCTCCGTGACATTTTCTCCTGTTTTTCAAGTTTCTTAATATCACTCTACTTGTGAATGACGTATCCAATGACCTTCCCATAATAGCAGTCCAGGAGAGAAAAAAATAATCTCATGATTTCCTGACAGAATGAGCAACGGAAAATTAAATAGTGGAGGTCGAGCGACTTTAAAAACCTCATCTAACGAACGTAACTTCCTTTTAATTTGAATCTTTCTGTGACAGAAGTCTAAATAACTTGGATATTTCGAGCTCATGAAAGACGGCTATAAAGGTTTATGATTACTTTCAATATGGAAAATGACAGTTTGCCAAATTTTGTTTGAATTTTTACATGAGAGTCGTTTTTAGATATTGTGTTTGTAAACTAAACAAACATCTTAAAAATTGAACCAGTTACTTTCCAGTTAGAGTCTTTCACTTTTTATTCACTGATACAGATATTTCCCTTCATGATATTAATTCAGTGCCGTTAGTAATGAATCAATAGTAAATTTAGACGAAACCTTGGAGATTTAAAATATGAGTAAAATGTTTTATGGACACGGTCGGTACTAAGTGCTTCAGCTCAAGGAAAAATGATATCGCATCGTTTATTATATTGAATATTCAAGCCTCGAGTAGGTGGAAACCGATATGACACATCTACTGTTTGTAATCAAAATAAATTTCTTGCAATTTTACAGATGATTAAAATGATAAATATTCGAGACATTCGCTCATATCTTCATTAAAATTCTTCTATTGACGCACTGAAGTCTTTTGTAAACGTTACTAATAAAGCCGATATTTCTAACTTTTACTGACAAGGCATGCAAAACAAGACCAAGATGACAAAACGAAACAATAAATTATATTTAAAACATTCAATTTCTTAATTTTCATTTTTCATCCTGCCGGATTGAAAAAAATTATTATTAAGACAAAATCTCCATCTTCTGATAGTGAAAAATGAAGTTGTAACTCAAAATTTTTTTTTTTTCAAAAGTTTTGACCGTGTATGACTTCCTCCATTCGCAAGTGTAGGAGTGGGTTGAAAAGCCTGTATAAGTTACACCGTATAAATTATAAACCACTGTTAATTTACCGTCGAGAGTTTTGTTGGGGTCTATTGTTTATTAGATTGCAAACTTTAAAGTGGGAGAACCGCTCGTTCTAAAATCTATTGTCCAATTTATGATTTTACGTTATGGCTTGGTCTTTTTCTAGAAATTAGGGAAGTGATTAAACAGTTCTTAAGGTTACCGTGCACCTTCAGGGGTGTCTCGCGTGCAAGCGATGTAGCGCGTCCGGTTTAAACTGTAGATATCTAAACCCCTATATCAGATTAAAGCTTATAGGACTGGCTATCAGACTTTAGAACATAGCTAGCAGAACCGCGCAATCAAATTCAATATTTGTAAGCGTGCTCAAAATCCCGATAGTGCACGCTGACAGCGTCAGCAAATCGCTTCGCCAGAAATTTTTTTTTCGCGCGAGCGGCCGATTGTTAGCGCGGGAAAAATAATATATTTCGCGACAATAATGGATACAAACAGAAACTCGGCCTACTAGTCCGAAAACGAAGACAATGTTTCGACCTTTTCCCTTGGGCTAGAGTTCTTAAATGAGGCAGAAAAAGAGAAAAACAAAGGAAAAGGAGACTCGGCATCAGCGCCGTCACGATTCGCTTCAACTGATATTGTTGTCCATTTTTCCCGTCGGATTTGATGCACAATTCTACCGGCTATGTTCTAAAACAATTGGTTCATGCTTTCAGCTGTGCACTATCGAGTTATGGAGCACGTGGGAAGTTTGGAGAGCACTCAAGAAGCTAGAGTTGCCCTCGGCTATCGCCTCGGGCAACTCTTACGCTTCTTTCGTGCTCTCCAAACTTCCCGCGTGCTCCATAACTCGATAGTGCACGCTAAAGCATGAACCAATTGTTAATTAT